TCCCTTGGCCGCCCCAAGCACCTGCTTGTTAAGCTGGTGCCTGGAGCCGGCCCTGCTTGTACTGGTATAACTATGTCAATAAAAAAATAAATAAACCCACTCCCCTGCCTGAAACAGTTATACTGTTACAACTTTCAAGTTTAGACCAGGCCTAATAAGAACTTGTGTGGTGCAAAGTACAACAAAACAAACACAGAGATGAAACTGCCTGTTCGAAATGCTGAGGCTGGGATCTGTGGGCCTAATTCTGATCTCACATACAGCAGTGAGTTAGTCCAGTGCCCAAGTATAGCAATCTCTCCCTCCCTGTCTCTGTAACTGGCATTAGCCATTGCAACATGGTCACTTATTCAGAATACGGACAACCATATGACCGAACAAACGCAGCGTGACGCTGGGGACAAAGCCGCTACTTAGGAAGGTCTAGACCCAGCTGAAAATAAAGGGAGCAAAAGTCCAACATGGGGGGGGGGGGGAAAATCAACCCCTGCCCCCCTCTTTTGAAATGTCATCAAAATGCAGAAAAATGCAACCAGCTCAACAGGGGGGAGGGAAATCACCAAAAAAGTTTTTCCTTTCCCCTTCCCACCACCAAATTTCAAAGCTGGATACAATTTTGATCAGTCCTAGGAGTTGCACTGAAAATTCTGATTTACAGCATACTAAGAAAAAGAGACTTACTAAACTTTTCTGACAAATATCTACCTGGTTTCAATATGCACTTAACCAGGAGCCAACTCACTGATAGGCTCACTAACTTTACAGCAAATGGGGTTGAACGTCAAGCCACATTGTAGTTTGGGGAAGAAAATCCAACAATTTCACAGTGTCACTTTTGCTGTGTCTACCCTGGACTGTTTCCCCTAAGATTTCCCACCAGGGCAGCTTCACTTCAGTGGCAACAAAGGCCAGAGCGCTTGTGTAGACAAGTCACCAGAACCACCAGTGTTTTCACCATCAATATCATCTAACCCTGCTCAGAGAAGGCCTAGGAAAAAATGGTGATAAAGATGCCAGTGCCTTGTCTATACTAGAGCTCCTACTGGTGGAGCTGCACTAGTGGGAAATTTTGTAGGCGAAAGTCCAGTGCAGACACAGCTTTTGAGCTTTTCAGTATGCTCGAACCTGAAACTCAATGTGAAACTCAGCAGACACAAAACCATAGTGCTTCACAAAGCTGCAGGAAAAATCTCCCATTGCAGGCTGGGCTCTGCACTTTAGCCCGGGTGCCACAGACAGCAAGAGTTGTGTAGCGTTCTGGAACCTCAAGCTGGCAGAGATACCCTCCTGCAATCAGAACCAGTCTGCTCCAGTGAAACCGAATGTATAAATGAGTAGCAGCTGCAGGAAATTTAAACGTCATACAAAAAG